GTTCGCGAAACGATGATTCTGCACGTAGCGACGGGATGCCATCGTCGGTTCTGGTCGCTGAAGAAGGAATCGCGGACAACGACGGTCACCTGTCGTCGTCGGTCGGTAGCCCCGTTGGCTGTGAAGGAGGTAGCGCTGGCAAACGACTGACTGCGTTTGTTTTGTTGCCTCAGTTTTTTCTTTTTCTTCAGTTGCTGGTGGTCTGTCGGAAGTAACGGCCGAATCTCTGTTGGCCGGACCTTTGGACAACGGCCTGATGGTCGCCGTTGGCGAACAAGCGTCTCACGACCAGTTGAAAGAACGACTCAAAGCTCAACTAGAGTACTACTTTTCCCGGTATGCCGTCGTGCTTTTACCCTCTACTTACGAAGTACTTTCTCTGCCATATACATCTTCTGTGTAGCGAAAACCTGGCAAGCGACATTTATTTGCGGTCGCAGATGGACAACGATCAGTACGTGCCTATAAGGATCGTCGCCAATTTCAACATGGTCAAGAAACTGACCAATGACATTAACCTTATTGTCGAGGTTCTACGTGGTAAGTACTGTTGCTGTTGCGTTTTGGCGATGTTTTCGATCTTTATCTCTGACGATATAACTAAAGCTATTAAATCAGTAGTTGTGGACATTAACAACAACAATGACAACGATCACTGTTTAAGCTCAGGCGCAAGGATGTCGCCTTTCAGATAGAGGCTTAATTTAGCAGCCGGCTAAGCGGCTCGGATGCGGTAAGAGTACATCCCGTCAACCGCTGGAAGATTTGTCTGCATGTAAAAACGTGACGCATCGCTGGTCCATTTTACAAGTTTATTTGGCTTCCACGAATAACTTTACCAATACCGTATGACAGCAGTCATCAGGACGAAACGGCATCACAGCAAAAGTTACACGACCAAGGTTTTCCTTTTCAACGACTGATCGACACTTTTGTACATGTTCTTCGAACGTTAGAGCCAATCCAAGTTTATCATGCATACGTTTCGAACCTGTGATGGAGCTATGATAATCGTTCATGAGAACATAACTCTTAGCGTAGCCTGTTACACGAAATAAAACATTTAAAGATAAAAGGAGAATAGGGGAACGGAGTGGAATTGGACCGAATAATATCTGATCACAAATCTCTAAAATTAATCGAAACTCGACCAGTTTAAATGTTTCAGGGTCATGTAATGAATTTCTATCGCTGGAAATTCTACCGTGGGTGTCCCTGTGTCGATTGTTCTCGTAGGTCGTGTCTTCGAACATCATGATATTACGCAGACGATAATCCGGAGCCTCGTTCTCCAATGTATCACTTGTTATCGCACTCTTATCACACTGTTGCCTGCAACTCAACGTACTATCGAATAATGAGCTGAGATACCGTTGATACATTATACTTGTCAAGGCGATAAAGTCGGTGGTAAGAACGTCTAATATGTGCAGGGAAGTAACACAGTAGATAAGTGTCTGAGGTATTGCTCTTTCAGTGTTCGTTCTCAGTGCAATGTCGTACGAACTTTTACACTTTGGCACTGCCACATTAGGAGGCCACTGGAGACTGATGCAAATGAAAAATCCTAGGCACGCGGTTCACCCGATGGATAACCCTTGATTTAAGTCGATGTGTGCTTTACGTGATCACTCCGCGCATAAAATTTATTATGTGCAAATGCTCTGTTTCACATCATACTCCATATATCTTCAGATAGCAACATTTGAAAAAATTTTTTGCGCATATGTGGGCATGCAGAGTCAGGTACAACCTTTTCAATGGATGTTCTGACCTCGATAGTGAAAGTTTTTCCATAACTTCGTTCCACAGCAGCATTTCTGTTCATGCATTGATTTGGTTGAATTACGAAAATTACCGCAATCTTCCGTCGTTGAAAGTTTTCTTTCGAAATATTACTTTCATTTAATACCATGATATTCATTCAGTTCACCGTTGTCTCTAGCTGTTGCGGAATTCTTTATGGAATATCTACCAACACTGGCATTCACCACCGCCGACAATAATATCCATCCCCTACTGTTTAAACTGTACATTGGTAACATATTCGCCATCAGTGGAAAAGACACGTACGCGTTTCTCTTGAATCAGTTTGATACCCCGTATCCAGGATAAATCGTATTCGGGATAAAAGTGGAGAAAATGCACTAATCTCGAGAAATAGAAACTGATATTTTTATGTGTTCACACGTGTCAATTTATTCCTGCCGTTCGATTCAAACGACGCACGCTGCATTAAAAATGGCATCGTTAGCACTCTATCGTAGCAGGCGTTTCGGATGAGCTAAGACGAAATTGATGTTCAAAACAGATTCAAAACAAACTTATATCTGAAGGGTGCTCCGAAACAGTGACTCACGTAGGTGACTATTGGAAGTAAGCAGCAAACCAGCCGAAGAACAGTGGTATGGAATGAACTAGAAGTTCAACATTTTCAGCTGACGTACAAAAGCTAAGAGAGAAGCTTCAGAGTATCAGCCCTATGCTTAAAATACGGCTGGATTCAGATATTCAGATCCGAAACAGCAATACGGAGCTGGCAGATGCACGTCAAAAGTACTTAGCCGAAATTTCAACACCAATGCTGGATTTATATACTAAGTTCTTAGTTATTAGTACATAGGAGAAATCGGCAACATCATAGAATAAAGGAAGAAAGAACATATCATTCATCTGACAAGA